TAATTATAACTAACTCAACTCAATTGTTTGCAAATCCACCAAGGAAACATTTCATATCATAAAATCATAGCACTAACACAACCCCTCAATTAAATTAAAAAAAAATCCGTCTCTTCATAAGCCAATCTAGTTGATTAAATGATCTTAGACTGATATCAGAAGGCAAAAATTATTCTATATAATAATTTTTTTCTCCAGATATCATAAAAAATCTCACTAACCAACTCCACATTCTAACAACATTAGAATAGTAAATAAATCCAAATTAACTCAAAATAATAATAATAATAATAACTAATATAGACTCCAAATCTTCGTCTTTAAATCTTCATCTGATTCCAACTAGTCTCCCAATATCAACCCAAAAATCACTATTAGAATAATACCCCATTTCAATTCCATCAAAATCATATCCACTTTAGCCTAGAAAAGTTCAAGTAATTGAAAAACTCCAATCTTCGCATTCAACTCCAATTTCTGATGGAAATGTTGAGAAGTCAATGATATAATTCTATGCATATATATATATATATATTTACACACACAAAAGGAAAAAAGGCTTGGAGGAATTACCTTAATTAAAAGCTAAAGAATTAAGACCCCCTTAACAAGCTTTCAATTCACTTTCTATTTAAGTCAAATTGCAACCTTTCATATTGTGTATAAAACTGTCTCCAAGTAATCTACATCATTCTTAATATTCAACCAAGTTGCAATATAGACAATTTTACAAGAGTGGACTTCCAATACTACCAAATAACTAAATTCTCATTTATTAGAAATAAAAAATTCACTATCTTCCAATGGTAATTCTAATTAGCATAAGCTCCACTAATCAAGTCTACAACCAAGATGACGGTGAAGTAATGGATAGCAAGGATGAAGAATTCAAAGAGAAGTATCATCTCATATATACTCGTTTAGTCACTTACCCCTAATAGGGGTACCAATACATAATCTATATTCAAAATGATTAACAAGTTACTGAAAACACATGCAAGGCTAATGATGCATTGATGTCCCATTACTATAAAGAACCCCACTCTTGCTCACCACGTGTCTAGGCTTACAACCCTAAACTTGGCCCAAAAGATTTCAACTTAAAGCTCTGATACCACAAAATTTGTCACGCCCCAACCCCAAGGTCAAGACGTAACAAACGCCACACATCTATAGGGATGACCCCATAAATGTGTAAGGCTACCTTAACTAAACAACTTTTAGTGTCCAAATGCAATAAAATTAAATTCTATAAGAAACTCCATCTTTATTAACATGTACGAGAAGTTGGTCAAATCCAAAACACTTAATCCTCACTTTATAAAATCCAACATAAAATTTAATAGCAATAAGTCATAGCAAATAGATCTTCAATTATAATTATTCCACAATCCAAAATAACTTAAAACTAAACCAAAGAACTACTCTAAAATCGTTGTGCCTCTCACTCCCAAATGCAACCCCAAATGCTTACTCATCTGTACCTGAAATGAGATGAGATTTTAAAAGCATAAGCTAGACAGCTCAGTAAGAGTATACCCATCTAGTTTGATCAAGCATTGTATTTCAATGAAATAATAATTAAATAAAGTAAACAACTTTTCAATAAAGAAACCACATTCCAAACTAGATGAAAAGAAACAGCAATTTCAAGTTCTTTAGGCTGCATCACACTCCAAATATGGCATCACACTCCACATCACACTCCATGATAAATAGATCCCGGGACTACTATCAATACCCTTAGTATACCCCTGAGGAGCGGGTTAATTTATCCAGTCAACCAAGAACATGAAAACCCAATATCAAAAGAAAAATTATTTCCAATTTAATAAACCACACTCTTTGATAAAAAACAGTCCACACTCAAAATGCTTGATCAACATTCATCTCATTTCATTATAAAATATTCTTATTCTTAAGACATAATAATCAAATAAAATTATATAAAATACGATGAAAAGGTAAAATAAATTTCAATAAAACAAACCTTTTAAAAATAATACTAGAGGATATAACAACTTACCTCGAATTATTAATCAATTTTTCATTCAACACTGCCTCTTGAATTATTTAAAACTTTCCTACTATCTTATTTGTTAGAATTGAAAAGATCTACAAATCGTAGGCCATATTGCTAGAATCGAATTTGACATGAAATAGAGTTCCAAAATTCTCTCAATTCCTCCTCTAATTCACATTCTTAATTATAAAATTAGATCTAAGAACAAAACCATCACATAATTGAGAAACTTACCCTAAAATTTCCTCAATTCGACTAATTTGGCAATCTATCGGACGGAAGCCCCTTTCTATGCTTTCACAAATGGGCGACAGCACCTTCAGAAGTGGGCGGCAGCATTACAGAATTTCTGCCAACCTCTAGCTCGTTTCCTATTTGCAAGCGGAAGAAAGGTGACAATCCTATTTCCCCAAAAATAAAGTGGGAAAAATGAAACTACCAACTCACTTGATTTGGGGCTTTTTTTACAAAAAAGAAATATTGTTAATTGGTCCCTAAGCTTTAATTATAAGGTTCTAGTCCCTGAGCTCCTTACATCATTATAATTTCAACCCCAAATTTAATTCTATCACATATACACCCTTTAAGAGCTTAAATAATTTATTTAAATCTAAAGTAAGAAATCCTTGGGTATTACAGTATCCATTAGAGCAAGACTAATGACAAGCATCAGCTTGTTCAAAATAAAGTAGAAAAGAAAGGAAATCTTTGAAAATATTGTTCTAGCCAACAAAGTAGTCCACAATAGATTATGCAAGCTATTAAAGGTTGAGAATAATTGTAGGTTTTCCTACAAAACGGATTTGCAAAAGGAAAAGCTGAAGCAGCATGTGAATGAGGGATCAATCCCTCAAACAGTGAAGAGGATTTCATCATCCTTTGAGAAATCCAAGGGAAAAAGACATAAAGTCTTATGCCACTAAAAAGAATCAAAGAAGAAGAGAAGCATCAACCATGATGTCACAAGATTCTTTGAAGATAAGATTCTTCTCATTAAAAGTAGGAGATAAGTTTGGATCACCAAACAATAATGTAAATCTTAGACATTAGAATGACATAAGAAATGATTCCAAGGAGCACTATAAAGGTCTCCTATAAGCTATAACAAGTATTGGGTATTTAAACATCCAATACCTTACCTAAGATCTTGCTACCATGCTTCTATAAACACCCTTTAAGAGGAAAGAGAACTTTCCCTTTCTCTTCTCAAAAATAAAAGCATGTTGTAGACTAATTCTTGTGTTTCTATCCTTCCTTATTTCCATCACAAAAGCAATGAGAAAAAGTCCTTGTAAAAGCCTAGGTAGTAGGGAGGTCACTTGTGTTGTTCGAATAACTATTGTAGCCTAAGCATGGCGTTGAAAGTTGGTTGAAGGAAGCATTAGCTTGACTAAAGGCTAGAATAGAGGATTTTCAGGTATAATTCTATCTCATTTAGTTTATCATGCGAAAGTAAGGTGGGCATAGAAACAATTTTATTATTCTTCAACATAAAAATTATTTTTGAGATTAGAAACAATAGGAATATAATACTGGACCTCTTGTATTTCAAAAAAGAAAACTCTATTTTAAGGTTTGCTTGAAATATAAAGATCATGACTTTATTCAAGAATTTGCCTTGGATAAGGAATTTTATGATCAACAACGTAAATATTATAAAAATGAAGTAGTAAAAATCTTAGAAAAAATAAGTAATATTGAAGATTTAGATGAATATTATTTATCAAAGAATCTTAAAACATTAAAGTGTACAGTAGCATATCTGAAAGAAGATTTCAAAAGATTAAAAGATGCTAAACAAAGACCATCTTTGCTAATAGCTTAATAGACTCTGCACCTACTAAACTTAACATACTAATTGCACATTAGTTTGTAACCTAAGTTGGTTCTAAAAACCCCCCTAAAAATCTAGTAACAAAGCCATAAAGAGAATTATAACACAATGTTGTTAAGAACAAAATTAAGAAAAGATGATAGATTTTATGTACAACAGAGACATAATCTTGAAGATTATAGAATTATAAGGGATGATACCCTATAGAATTAATGAATTAATGTGGGATAGATATATTTTTGAGGTAGGAAGAGCAATAGCTCTAGAAGAATTGAAGAATTTAGCAAGATAGAAACAAAAAATGAAAGTTAAAAATCTTGTCAAAGGACTAAACGACTCAAGATTTATAAGTCTAAGGACTTCTAATAGAATTAAACCAAGAATTACCGTTAGAAGTGGTGTTAGGGTTCCAAACCCGTGAAGCTCAAGGGCACAAAATTACAAAGTTATTGTTCTCAGGGAGGTTAATCACTAATTTTTTGCCCTATCTTCTCTCCTATGCTGTCTTGTAATAAAATAATAATAATAAATAAATAAACAACTACTACTATAACAACAAAATAAGTCATTTTTTTAAGGCAGCTATGTAATTTTAACCAGTAAGAAAGGGTGGATCCTAGCTAATCTCTCTATTCCACAAGTTAGAGTATCATATCGGACTTCCAAGATGGTTCGGATGCACAATAGAATGATCCTCTTAGGTCTATATATACTCTAGGAACTAATTTATCATTTTTTATCCACTTTGACTATGTTGGATTGCTACTTAATATCGCTAATCTTATGTTTGGGTCTAACTATAATGTTAATGTAGTTAATAAAAAATATTTTTATATAATTAAGCTACTTAATTTCCTATTCAAGGAATAATTAAGGTTGCAATTGATTAACGTTGTAGTCTCACAATACTTTCTGCAAAGCATCTCATTACAAGTGTCAATTTATCATATGGTTAAATCGATTTTAATTAATGTTTTGTACAATTTAATAGTCATTTTGCTATATAACACTCTTTTCAAAATAATTGTCAATAATAATAAAAAATTTTTATAATAAAATATTTGAAAAACCACAATTACAACCTTTCATAGCAATCCCACATGTAACTTTAGTCTCTATCTTGCATGTGGACGCCTTTAGTGCTAGGGCTTTGGTTGCATCAGTTACTTCCCTAGGCCTCCCTCCAAATTAGGTTCCCTGCCCTCTTTTATTTCTCATTTGGTCCTCTAATTCTTTTATTTGTCATCCTTCTAACACTACTAGAAAAATGACGTATACGGACCGAATAGTGTCGGCCCGAAAAAATAAATATACAGATCAATATCGGTCCAAATATATTCAGGTGGTACAAAATATACTAATCAACATATTCGGACCGATATCGGTCCGTATATTACTGGCGAGAAACCACAGTATAAAAGTGCCAATAATATTCAGACTGCAAACGGTCTGAATATTATTTTTGAAAAAAATAAATATTAAATAACAAAAAATATGAATAAAATATTATTTAAATAAATATATACGGACCGACTTTAGTCTGTTTATATCCATCAGAAAATACGAAATTTCATTTTTCTAGTCGGATCGAGTTCGGTCCGTATATTTATTATTTTTCGTAAAATATAAATATTAAATAACAAAAATTAAGAATGAATTATTATTTTTAATGAAAATATACAAACCGAAATCGGCCCGTATATATTATGTTGAAAACCGTATATATTAATTTATTATACGGACCGAGATCGGTCCGTATATACATATCCAGACCGATCATGGTCTGAAACATGGTCTGAAAAGTTGTGTCATGGAATCTCTAAATTGATTGGACGCTGGGGCCCACCCATAGTTTTTTTCGAACCGGGATCAATCTAAATAAGGCTGCATGCAGCCTTCTTCCTCGCGTGTCGCCCATCCCCCCCCATTCTGCGATTTCTTCACAATTTTCCTCTGTTTTTTCTTTCTTTTTTCTTCCTCTTCGCTGCAAGCTTCTCCTCCTCCAATCTCCTCCAATCTCTGGCCAACCATTGAGGTAAATAACTCTTTTCAGCCGATTTTTGGTCGGCGATCTTGTTGGTGTATTTTTTTTTTTTTTTT